TGGCCTGCACGGCAGATCTCAGGCCTCCGAAGGCCATGGGGCACCCTCCCTCCTGGCCCAGCCTGCTCCTTGGGAACCCCGGAGAGCCTTTTCTAGGGCTGTCCTATCCTCACTGGTCTCCTGCCCCCTCCCCATGGGACACAGGCCCCGCCTTTGGAAGTCAGGCCAGTCCCAAGGTATGAGTTGGGGGATCCAGGCCCAGGACACGGGAGAGAGGACAGAGGGGTGGGCGGCAAGGGTGAGTCCCAGGACCTGGGGGCTCCTAGGGGCTTCTGACCAGCTGGGGTGTGGGAGAGCAGGTATCCCCACTGTGCGTGCCTTGTGCACAGAGCCTGCCATGGCTGCTGGGGGAAAAAGGGGACAGGGGACAGGTGGGAGACCACCAGGACCCAGCCGTGACACAGAAGCCTTCACCAGGGGCAGCAAAGACAAGCGAGCTGAGAGGCCAAGGTGGGCAGCGTCGCCTCACGCCCTGTCCAACAGCAGGGTGATCTTTTTGGTCTTGGGGACATTCAGGTCCCAGTAGCAGGAAGTTCCCACAGTCTGGCTATGGGCTCTAAAGGCAAGTCAGAAGGCCAGGCCTCCAGGGCCCCAAAGCAACGAACGCTGGGACTAAACAACGTGAGCCTCTGGCCAGGGTTCTGAAAGGGAGGCCTGTTCTGCTCAGGGCAGACCACATCCAACCCAGGTTTCATGAAGGAGCAAAGGTCCAGGCTAGGAAGGCTCATCCTGGGCTGTGCTGGCCCCTCGCCAGGCCCCGGCCTCACCAGCCGCCTCTCTGTTCAGATGCTGGAGGTGGTTGCCAACACACGGGTGCGGGATGTGTGTGACAGCATTGCCACCAGGCTGCAGCTGGCCTCCTGGGAGGGCTGCAGTCTCTTCATCAAGATTGCAGACAAGGTGGGCTGGGCTGGGGCTGGGCAGATGGAGGGCGGGTGGTGAGCGGGATCCTAGGTGCTGCCTGGTGGGGGCCTCGGCCTGCCAGGGGCACCCGTGCTGGACCAGGCTGTACAGCCAGGGCTGCCAGGACAGAGGTAGGTGGGGTCCCGGAGCAGAGCCAGCTCCACACGCCGAAAGCCCACGCACAGCCGACTCCAGCGCAGCACCCAGGCCGTAGGCAGCCAGTGGACCAGAACCCGGCAGGGCCCTCTCAGGGGGACAGTCCTCTGGCAGCCCCCCACCGTCCCTGCACCTTCCCCTTCCCCAGGTCATCAGCCAGAAGGAGGGAGACTTCTTCTTCGATTCCCTGAGGCAGGTGTCTGACTGGGTGAAGAAGAACAAGCCCCAGAAAGAAGGTGAGGAGGCCTCTGTGGAGCTGGGCGAGGGTGCGGCTGGGTGGGGTGAGGGGGCACCGTCGGCCTCCGTGTGGCCCGTGCCCATTCATCCATTCCTTCCCGTGTGTCCCTGGGTTGTGGAGACAACCAGGCCCTGGGGCCTCGTGGTGAGGGCCTCCCAGCTCAGGCAGGAACCGGTGGCTGCACCACGGGGTGATGAAGGATGCCCCAGGGCTGAGGGGCATGACCCCCATGGGCTGGGGGTGGGAGTCCAGGAACACTCCTGGAGAAGGCAGCCTCCACACTCATCTTGAAGGCTGAGGAAAACCTGGGGGGCTGGGGAGGAAGAAGGTGGAGGATTTCCAGGCAGGGAGGTGGCAGGCGCAGTGTGGGGGTGCCAGGGGGTCAGGGCGGGTGCACCTGCTGGGCCAGGCCTGGTGCCCACTGCTGGCCCTCGCCCAGGGGCCCCCGTGACGCTCCCCTACCAGGTGTACTTCATGCGGAAACTGTGGCTCAACATCGCCCCGGGGAAGGATGTGAATTCGGACACCATACTCCATTACCACCAGGTACCGGGCAGGCTGCCCTGGGGGGCACTGGGGCCACCCCCATCCTCCCACACCTGTTCTGAGGCTGTAGAAGCCAGCAGGCCAGGGCAGGGCCAGCCTCAGCCCTGGGTACTAGCCCATGTGGTAGGCAGCCCAAGCCCCCGAGGGCTCTGGAACCAGGAGCAGAGGGGACAGTGTTTGGGGACAGTGACTGCACTGGCACCTGCCGCATGACTTGGGGAGGGTGGGACAGAGGGTCCTGTGGCCCATGGAACAGTGGCCATGGCCTGCAGGGCCAACCACATGGGTGGAGCAAGGCCATCACCTCCACGTAGATGTCAGGGGGCCCTGCCCTGACTCAGGGTCATTCCCCTGGCCTGAAACTCTACCCTGCTCAGTCCATCCTGGATGGGGTGGGCTGAGCCCCAGGTCCCCACCATCTGAGCGGGAAAGAGGTTGGGGGCGTGCGGGTCGCGGCTGGAGACCCAGCATGTCCAGTGTGTCCACCACCCAGGAGCTGCCCAAGTACCTGCGCGGGTTCCACAAGTGTTCGCGGGAGGACGCCATCCACCTGGCGGGCCTCATCTACAAGGCCCAGTTCAACAACGACCGGTCCCAGCTGGCTAGTGTCCCCAAGATCCTGAGGGAACTGGTGCCCAAGGACCTCACACGCCTGATGTCCTCGGAGGAGTGGAAAAAGGTGCCTCACGGGGCTGGGGAAGGGTTCCTGGGCTGCTGCTCCTCCCTGGGATCCTGCCCCAGTGCCACGCCCTGCCTGGGCTCCAAGACCACATGGGTGCACATGGGTGGTGTGGAGGGTGGGCTGGCTCTGCACACACCACGCCTTCCCACGCTGTCCACGGCGCCACCGAGACTGTCCCGCGCTGCGTCCCTCCCCTCCCCTTCCCTCCCCACTGTACTGGCCTGGGGTAGGCAGGTGCTGCCCCCACCAGGGCTTTGTGGGGCCTCAGCACCCAGGCCCTTACTGGCCCTCCTGTTCCCCAGAGCATCCTTCTGGCCTATGACAAGCACAAGGACAAGACAGTGGAGGAGGCCAAGGTGGCCTTCCTGAAGTGGATCTGCCGCTGGCCCACCTTCGGGTCTGCCTTCTTCGAGGTGAAGGTAGGCCTTGCCCCACGCCTGGGCCTCCTGCCCAAGCAGGCTCTGCTCAACTCTGCCCCGGCAGGCCCAGCATCGACCAGCACACATCTTGGGTGGGACTGGCCACGAGGCTGGAGGGCGTGGGCGTGTGTGTGTGTGCACGTGGCCTAGGTGAGCTCCTGGGAGGTGCAGCCTGGCCTCCTGGGCTGGACTGTGACTGCTGTGTCCCTCCCTCCCAGCAAACCTCGGAGCCCTCCTACCCGGACATCATCCTCGTCGCCATCAACAGACATGGGGTTCTGCTCATCCACCCCAAGACCAAGGTAGCTGCTGGGCCTCCGGAGGGGCTGGGGGCCACCAAGTCCAGGGACCCGTGCAGGTGGGGCTGCAGTCACCTCTGCAGTGTGTCCTGCCTCTCTCCTGTCCCCTCACACACACACAGCCCACGGGCTCTGGAGGCACCCTGCCCACCCACCCTCTCTGCCCCCAGGACCTGCTCACCACCTATCCCTTCACCAAGATCTCCAGCTGGAGCAGCGGCAGCACCTACTTCCACATGGTGCTGGGGAGCCTGGGCCGTGGCAGCCGCCTGCTGTGCGAGACCTCCCTGGTGAGCGCTGGTCCCTTCTCCCGGCCAGGATGCACAGGATGGAGCGGCTGGAGACTGGGTTCCCCACCCTCACCCCTTTCAAGTGGCTTATTAAGAGGGCTCCGTCACAGGGCCCAGGTGGGGCCAGCAGACCTGGAGGGGGACTGGGTGCATCCCCAGGACCAGCAGCCAAGGTGGCAAAGCCAGGCAGGTGCCCCTGCACCCTTGGCCCATGCTGAGGAGGGAGGGAGACCTAGCCCCAGCAGGGCAGGCAGAAATGACGGTGCCAACGCCAGGAGCCCGCCTGCCCTTTCTCCATGCCCTGCACCGCTGGGTGCTGAGGAAGAGAAGGTGGTCCCTGAGTCCAGGACCCCCACCTGCCCTCTGCACCCACAGCCTCTGACCCACCCTGTCCCCTGTCCAGGGCTACAAGATGGACGACCTGCTGACCTCCTATGTGCAGCAGCTCCTGAGTGCCATGAACAAGCAGTGGGGCTCCAAGGCCCCAGCCCTGGCCAGTACCTAGCAGCGGATGCTGGCGTGTCTGCTCAGGCACCGTCCCGCCCTCCAGCCTGGCAGCACCTTCCCAGGCCCTCTCAGCCCAGGGCCTGTCCTCGGCAGGCAGCCTTCCATGCTGCCCCCCATACGAGCCCACTCAGCCCCGCAGGTGGCCCCCTCTGTCCTGGGCGCTGCATATGGAGGTGAAAGACCCAGCGCGGGTCGGGAGTCTCGGGCCCCCAGGCTGTTGGTGGATGGCTGAGAGGACCCCCCCACCGCAACCCCAGCCCACCAGAATGTTCAGTAAAAACCCCTGGGGCAGGAGAAGCGAGTGTGTCTGAGGGGGCAGGGTGTGGCACGACGTGGACATGGGGCCTGGGAGGCTCTGGCCCGCAGAGAGCCGCAGAAAAAGCAAAATGCCTTGCGACTTTCCCAGGGAACTGGGAGGGCAGCTGCATTCTCCAGGAATGACTTCATCCCTCCCTCTTTCTGCTTCCTTCCTCCCCCTCCCTTCCTTCCTGTTTCTCAGACTGGGGAGGGGCACTCATGGGAGAGTCCTCCTCCCAGGCCCCGCCTCACACCTTCTGTCGTCCCCACCCCCACCCACCACCCAGGAGGCCGGGGTGGAGGTGCGGCTCTCTGGCTGCTGGCTTCGTGCTAAGCCCAGCTTGTGCCCAGACAGTGGCCAGAGCTGGATATAGCACCTTGGAGGCCTGGATTCCCTCCCTGGCATGTCCTGTCCCTTCCCACCCCCTCCTCTGCCCACTGGGACAGCTTATGTGGACCTGGCCACCCAGGCTTGTGAGGTCCTGGCAGGGCACATTTTCAACCCCTTATGGCAGCCTGGCCTGGGATAGAGGCTAGGGCTCCCTACACTCGTGCCTGTCTGTCTGATGTGTGTCCCTCTGTTCAACTGCCCCAGCAGCAGTGCGTCCACAGCCGCTGCCATCCCCTCCCAGCCCCTGCCACAAACCACGCAGGCCGCTGTGGTCGTGTGAACACGCCTTCATTGTGCAAGCGTGAGCCCCGCACCGGGTCTGCGCCGGCCGCAGAGGAAGTGTCCTCCCTGGCGGTGCTAACAAGCTACCTCCAACCCCACCACCTCCTGGACCCTGGCCCAACCCAAAGGCTCAACACAAGCCCCAAGCTGGGTGCGGGGGTGGCCAAGGTGGGACTCCAAGAAGGCCTTCCGAGGGATGAAGGTGGGTCCTGTCCCTCCAGGGAGCTTGTGGTGTGGACAGCAGGACTTGCTGGCTCAGTGTGGGCAGAGGGACACTGTGCCACTGGTTGAATGAGTGGAGAGGGATTGCAGGTGGCTCCTAGAGGCCTCCATCTGCGTGGCCCTGGCCCTGTGGCTCCAGCAGGCCGCTCTGGCTGTGGGTGGCCCAGGAGCCACATGCACTTAGTGGGGCTGCTCTGGGGCAGGGGCTGTCACAGGACAGCACAAGCCACCGAGCCACCTGGGGAGGGCCAGCCTGGGCCAGGAGGGGAACTGTGGTGCAATTTGCTCCTGTCCCTGGAGGTCTGTGGGTGGAAGCTGTGGGCACAGGCAGCTGTGGCTGTCAGACGTGGGGTCACAGGCTCCCACTCCCACTTCCTAGCTCCTGCCTCCTCACAGAGGGAAGCCACAGCCAAGGAGAGGAGACATGGGGAAGGCAGAGATGAGGGAACAGGAAGGGAGGGTAAGGTGCGGAGGGCGCAGGTGGACGGGGCCGAGGGGGCCGAGCATGGACAGCGGGAGGGGAGAAGGCAGAGGGGCCGAGAGGCGGCCGCGCAAGAGGGCCTTCAGGCAGAGTTGAGGTCCGCGGCCTTGGGCTGTGCCTTGCGGGAGGTCAGCTCCGACAGCTTCTTCAGCCGCTTCTTCAGCTCCAGCGGGAACTTCTCATAGCACCTCTTACACACGGGCTTCATGTCGAACTCCACAAACTTGTTCCTGGGGAGGAAGCAGAGCTGTCAGCAGAGCCCCACGCCCACCCCTTTAAACCCAGACAGGTGACCGTGGAGTGGGCCTCCCCACATCAGCCTCTCCTAGCCAGCAGGCCAGGCCCTAGGGTGACCCGACCAGAGAACATAGGGATGAGAAGGGCCTTGAGGCTTCCCTTCCCTCCCCTCCCAGAGGCTTCTCTCAGGTTCTGACACCCCAGAACCCTCTATGCCTCCCCACGGCCCTTGGAAACCTGGATGCCATTTCTCCTCTCCCAACTCCAGCCATCCCACACCCCTTGAGGCTTCCTGGATGAGCAGCTGACGCTGCTGCTTTTGCATATGCTGTTCCCTGGGCTGGAACGCCCTTCCCTCCCCAGAGTCCAGGGTTCTGGCAGGTGTGTTGGAGGCACGAGTGTTCCTCCTCCTCTCACTGTGCGCTGGGGTCCCTGGACCTGCCCCCATCTCACTGGGCGGTATGGGGCCGGGATGCCCCTTGTCCCCACCACATCCCCAGACCCAGCTGGTGTGCAGGAGGGCTGCTAAGAGGAAGGACCCACAGGAGCCCCCTCCACCCTGAGCCCCATCCCACGATCACAGGACTCACTTCAGGGTGAGCTTGCTGTTGCAGGTGGAGCAGGAGAAGCAACTCACACACCAGGCCTTGTTGAGGGCCGACACCACTGTGAGGGAAGCGTGTGACTCAGCAGGGCTGGCTAGGCTGCCACAGGCGCAGCTGGGCTCACAGCTGCAGCACCCTGGCCCCAGGAGAGCAGGTGGGGTGGGGGAGGGAACACAGGGCCTCACCATCGCCTTCGATCACATGGCTGCAGTTGTAGCAGACGTCCCCGAAGAGCTGTGGGCCGAGCAGGCTGTCAGAGGGGCTGCAGGCAGTCACACCCTAGCCCAGGGCCATCATGCAGCCGGCCTGGCCCTCCAACACGGCCCCTCTCAGGCATCTCCCAGGCCCTTTGAGGGCACCGCAACCCATTAGAACCACCCCCCGCCCCGAGAAGGACACAGACTGGGACATTGCTCCCCAGAAGGCCCCTTTGCTCTGGCTGCTGCTGTCCTGTGAGGAGGTGGGCCCCAGTGGTGACCGTGTCCCTTCAGTGCCCCCCCTCTTCTGTACCAGAGCAAGGGAGGGACGGAGGGGGTTGCTGGCACTGTCAGCCCCGTGTGCCCAGGACCTCACATCAGCCCCAGAACATTCTTCAGAGGAAGACACTGAGGCTGAGAGAGCTGCCTGGGTCTCGAGACCCCAGCCCAGGAACCCGGGCTGAGGGTGCAGGCCTGGGCTCAGCACCTGGCAGAGCTCCTGAAGGGGTGCCCACAGCCTCCCCTGCTCACGGCGGCTCTCCTGGCCACCCCTCCAGATCCGCGTCCCTGAGGGCTCTGCACCGGGCTCACCTGGTTGTAGTGAGTCTCACAGTAGGCCAGGCCCTTCTTCTCATAGTGCCGGTGCCCCAGAAATGGCTTCTCACACTTGGCGCAGACAAAGTGCTGTGAGGACAGAGGGCGGGCCGGGTGGCATCAGGGCTACAGCGGTGACCCCAAGGGACAGTGGTGACGCGGGGACAACAGTGACCCCAGGAGCCAGTGGTGACTCCAGGGGACAGCAGTGGCCCCAGGAGGCAGCAGTGACAGAAGGGGACAGGAAGCACAGTCTGGGCAGGTGGAGGCCCTTCAGGATTCACACTGGGCAGAGAGGGCTGACACCTCTGTGAATGCCCTGGGGTCAGCAGACCCCACCCCTCCTCTAAGACACCGATGGGAACCTTGCCAGTCACCATCCCCTCCCAGTCTGGCCTCTCCCTCGGCAGCCTCAGCCCCAGGAGTCAGGTGCCAGCCCCATGCTGTGGCACGGTGGGCCCTCGCTGGCAGAGGCAGCCCAGCCTGTCCACGTGGGGCCTCTGCAGGCACCCCCTGCAAGCCTGGGGTCACTGAGCAGCACCTTGCATTCCCCCAGGGATCTGCTTGTGAGGATGAGGGCTGGGGCCTACATCAGGGCAGGACGGCATGGCCTCCCACCCCAGCTGCCACCCAACACAGCTTCTGGACACAGCGTTGGCCAGGTCATCAGGGAAGGTGGTGGGCTCACCGATCCCAGTGTACCCATGAGAACATGAGAGCCCACCACCCAGCGGGGGCACTCCAGGTGACCCAGTGCTCACACCTGAGGAACTCTTCAACTCCGTGTTTGCACAGGGCTGTCCACATAGTGGGTTCTGTCAACCACAACCCCCAGGGCACCCTGGGCAAACTGCCCCCAAGGTTTTCTCCTGACCTTGGAGTCTCTTAGAATGCCAACAGGGGGAAGAGGAGAGGTGGGCACAGCTACCCAACCATATGTGTGTGCACTCGGGTCTCCTGGCTCCCGTGGGCAGGCTGGTGTCCCTGGCTGAGCACAGGGAGGGGCAGTACCCCAGAGGAAGGGCCTCGCCAGGAGCCAGTCACGCAGCCTGGGCTGGGAGTGTGGAGGGGCTTCAGGGCTCGGCTCTCACCGTGACCCTGAGCTGGGGCACCCCCAACCTGAGGCCACATGCCCGCCAGCCTGGCTCACCTCCACGTGCCACTGCTTGCCCAGCGCGTTGACCACTCGGCCCTCAATGGGCCGGCGGCAGGCACCGCAGATGGGGACGCCCATCTTGTCATGGCAGGGCAGGCAGTAGAGCTCGCCCTTCAGCTCACGGGCCTCAGCCGTCAGCTCCTTCCTGGAAGACAGCGAGCAGCCCCCAGGTGCCGTCCATGCCCTTCTGCAGGGTCATGCCAGCAGCGCCGCCACCCCGGGGCGCGGCTCCCCGAGGGGCCCATCCTGTGCCTGCAGAGCCGAGGCGGCAGCTCCCTCTGATCTCCGGGCTCTCTGCAGACTTCCTGTGCCCCAGACAGGCCCTGGAGCACACACTTCCCGCACAGCCCAGAAGAGTGGCCTGTGTTCCGCACCCAGGCCTCTGAGAAGCAGGTCTGTTCTCGGGCCCCCTCCTCCTCCAAACCCGACTGGGTGTCTGGACAGGCACGGAGAGGGCTGGAGTGGACGGTGGGGGTGGGTGAGGACAGGGGCGGAGGGGCTGCCTGTGCAACTCCTGTCTCTAATACCAGCGCCAAGCCTACTCCCGGTCTCTTGCCCGCCCCTCTACCCCTCGGGTCCCTTCTGCTGCTCCACCTCAACTCTCGCCTGCAGTCTAGGGCCAGCCCACCTGCCTCCCGAGTCTCAAGTGCCCCCCAAACAGAGCCCTGGAGAGAGAAGCTTTCTGCCATGGCCGCTTCCCGGCCCCTGGCCCACTTCTGCCCTGCGGCCCCCCTCCCGGGACCCCTCTCTCTGCCCACCCTGCTCACCTCTCCCGCCTCCACACTTCCCCAGGTGGAGGCCCCACCACCCTGACCCTGGGCCCGCCCTGGCTCCCCGCCGCCGCACTGCAGGGCCGGGCCGTGCACCTACCCACAGTGGGTGCAGTTGAAGTGGTCAGGGTGGTAGGCGTCGCTCCTGAACATGAGGGGCTGCTCGTCGATGACCAGGTGGCACCGCTGGCAGATGTACTTGCCCAGGCCCTTGGCCTTCTCACGGTTGTGGCAAGGCCGGCAGAGATGCCTGCGGGAGGCAGGGGCATTAGGGGCAGACCCCCCACTCCCACACACAGCCCGGCCACCTCTGGGAGAAGAGAGCCTGGACCCCTGCCACTTCGCTGAGCAGCTGGGGGCTTCAAAGGGGCTCAGCCCAGGGTACAGAAAAGCAGCAAGCCCAGTCACAAGGCCACAAGAGTGTCCTGGAAATGCGACCCACGCTCAGCAGGGAAGATGCCAGGACGCTCAAGTTCACTGCCTCTGGATTGTATTTTCCCTCTTTCTGCTTTCTCCAAGCCTGGGGCATGCTGTGGAATACAGTACACACTTAATTGATATCTGCTGAAAACACTGTTTTGTTTTCCCAATGTATTTAACACACACGAGTTATAGTGAGTGTCACTGTGCCCAGCAGAGTGGCCAGTGAGGGTCCTGGGAGGCCCACTCACCCCCTTCCTTCGTGGTTTACCGGATGAAGAAGGGCCCAAACACATACAGACGATTTCTGTCTCCAAAGACAAGCACAGCTATGTCAGACGGAGGTCCCCAAACCCAGGAACTGTCATTACAGAGTGTTTTTGTGAAGACCTCAGAATAATTTCTGATGCTGCTTGCTGTGTTGGACAACAGCTGTGTTCTCAACGAAGAGACAAATCAACATGGTTTCTGTTCCCTTGGACCTCAAAGGTGGCAGGAATCTAGATTCAGAGTCCCCAGATAAAGATACACAGAGGTCCCAATCCAACACCCCTGGCCCCCGTTCCCACCTGCCACCGAATCTCTCTCTGGCGCTCCTGCTGCATCCAGGCCTCCCTTCCCAGGCTCCCCAGCCCCAGGGGCCCTCTCCACCCCTCACCAGCCTCCACGGCTGCCGACGCCGTGTTGGCCTCTCTGACAGGCTGGTCAGAGAGGATACTGAAGAGATCCAATCTCAGACCCAAGATCCCCACCCAGGTTATGGTGGGCAGACCCCAGATGCCAGGGCCACCTATTCAGCATCCCTCCCTGGACCCCAGGATCTGCTACTGCTGGGTCTGGACTCCATCCTGCACAGCACTGTGCTCCATCTGCCCTGGGGTGTCTCCTCATCAGCTGTGTGCAGGGCAAGGGGCCCAAGCAAAGGCCCCGACTCCACTTGCTAAGCTGCTGACTGGCTCTCTGTGCCTCCCCGAGACCCTACATGCCCAGCAGGGGGCAGCAGCTCAGGGTCAGTCGATGGAATGCCTGGGTGAATGAATGATTCTGCAAGAGAGGAAGGGAGCCACGGTGGGCATCATCTCCCCTCCACACTGGCCAGGGCCCTGGCTTTTATGCCCCAGTCTCCCCTCCACACTGGCCAGGGCCCTGGCTCTTACACCCCAGGAATGGGAAGCAGTTGTGGCCTGTGGCTTCAGTCTTTATCACCACAATCCCTGAAGCCCACCCTTGCCCAGATACCTGTGCCCTAGCCCCAACCCCAGGCCACCTCCTCAGCAGGTCTGGGGCTGAGCTGCCCCACCTGGCGCCTGTGGCGGCCAGTCCATGCCCCCTGCAGTGCCTCTGTCCCAGACTCGGCCCCATGACCCCACTCCACATGCTGGTGACTCCTCCAGAGCATCAGGACAACACTCAACCCGCGAGGAACTACTTCTGTTTCAAAGATACAGAAATCAGCTCAACGCCTGAAAACCCCATCGCCACGGTCAATGCCCTTGAAGCCATCAACAGTGATCACCCCCATAACAGAAGGTCTGTGAGCCCAGAAATGCCCTGCTCAGGGTGGTTAGCTTCAAGCCACCACCTTTCCAACCAGCCTGGGCCAATTCTTCCAGACAGCCGCCTGCAGGCACAAGAGGAAAGGGACCTGCACACTGGCTCAGACACCGCACACCCGGCTGGCTCTCAGGCCAGACAGACTGGGAAGCCATCTCTCGTAGGAAGTCCAGATGGGAAACAGCTTCTCGACAGACCACATCACAGCACCAGATCTAAAGGTAACCTTCAGAATTATTTTTCAGGTTGAATTAGGATCGAATCTAAGAATTCTAAATTCAAAATGCAGCAGAAAAACAAAACACACATACACACGAAGCTTCAGTTCTGGAAGGACACGCCCTTGGGTTCAAATCCTGGCTCTGTCGCTTCCTACTGTTGGCTGATGGGTGAGTTTCTTCATGTGCCTGTGCCTTAGTTTCCTTGTCTGTGAAATGGGGCAATAATCCCAGCTGCACGGGGTGACGTGAAGAGACAAATTTAAGATACTGCCCCTTAAATGCTAGCCACATACATACAGTTTTCAATGTTTAAACAACAAAATGTAAAGTCTTTTGAAACCAGGAAAGATGATTTGGCTTCCCGTGTTGCTGGATATATCATTTTTAGAAAGACTGAGAGAAACGAACTTTGTTCAGTCAGTCTCAGAGGCGGCCGCCGGCAGCACTCAAAGGCACCCCAGCCCAGAGCCACACCAGGGAGGAGCCCCGGGGCCAGCGGTCGGATTCACGGGCTCCCGTGCCGAAGGGGAGCTGCACCGGCGGGCACCCGGCCTCTGAACTGAGCCGCACCCCCACGGGCAGGACAGCGCCCCATTATGAGGCCCCTGCAGCTGTGCCTTGCTCCAGATAAAGGCCATGATTTATTCGGCATGCCCAAATGGGGCCTCATTATACGGGGCAGGACACAAGGACCCTACAGCAAGTGTCCTCAAAGAGTCGCCTCTCACTCAGTGAGCAATGCTCCTCGGACTCCCACCCTCCGATCACAGGCCCCCTCCACTGTCTGCGGGCGCAGGCCTGAGAGCGCCGCCTGTTGCCATGGCAGCCGGCCCCTCCCTGCCCCCCATCAGTAGGAAATCATCCCCTTCTGAAACGTCCTGTTGTGTCCCTCAGCTCCAGCCTAAGCCCCCCAGCCAGCCCCCGCCTGCTCTGAGTCTCTGAGACAGTCAGACACTCGGCCTCTGTGGCCAAGCTGGGGGCGGGGGGCACGGGCTAGGGACACACTAGAATATTCACGCTCTGGTGGCAGCAGCGGCAGCCAGAGGAGCGGCCGCCACACAAGGGACCCCTCAGGAATGAAGCAGCCTTTCAGGGCCAGAGGGGCTGTGGTCTCCCTTCTTCTCCTTAAATAGCCAGCGTTCCACCCACAGCGGCACGGAGCCCTCTGCCACCGACACCCACGGGCGGAGATCACCTGCTGCCCCACAGACCCCTGCCCCTTCCTCCCGGACCAGCAGCTAGAGGTAAGGGGCAGGCCGGGTGCGGCGGGCTGGGAGCCCAGGGCTAAGCAGAGGAAACACACAGTGGGGAACCCTGCCCAGGGAGACAGGCAGCAGCCTGTCTCGTCCCATGTCTTTGGTGATGGTCTGACCTGTGCATTGAAGGCTGACCAGTCTGAATTCACAGCAGCCCACAAAGCGGTGTTTTGTCCCTCTGATGGGGGCCTGCAGAGGGGAAGTGGCTTGCCCGCAGTCCAGGCTGCAATGACAGCACCCGTGCCCCTAACCATGAGGCAGCCTTGACCCATACGGGAGCCAGATGCCTGGGAGAGGGTCCAGGCCAGGGATGGAGTGGCGCTAATGCAAAGGCAACTGCCACCACCTGGCCATGGCTGCTGCTACCACAGGCCCTCCCTGAGGCCACGCGTGCCCACCTGCCACCTCCACAGAGGCCTGAGACCTGTCCTAGACGCTCAGCTCACCCACAGCCATGGGACCCAACACTGCCCAGGCCCCGGCCCGTTCCACGCCCCTTCCTCTTCGGAACACCTGCTCGGTGGCCATCTGAGCAGTCAGCCGTGAGGAACCAGTGAGTCTAGGCTGAAGTTCGTTTCTAAAGGGCAATGGAGAGTGAAGCGGGGCCCATCTCAGACCAAACTGCAACAACCAGTATCAGAACTCCTCAAACGAGGGACAGAAAGGGAGGAGAAACCTCAGCAAACCTGAAACAAACCAGGAAGCGGTTTAAGATGGAGTGAGTCTCAGTCCCAGAGACAGCGAGGTGCACGCCCTTCGGCCGGGGCAGGAAGTGGAGGGCAGTGCCCAGGCTGAGACCCCCGGGCTGGAGGCAGGAGGCACCACAGGCCCACCTAGTGCCATGAGATATGCTAGCCCTGCTGTCACTCAGGGCCCCAAGCCCAGTAACATTCTGCTGTCACTGTCTTGAAACTCTTCCTTTTTGAGCAAGGGGCTGCACATTCTCATTCCACACGCGGGCCCCTAAGATTAGGGAGTGGTCCCAGGGCTGGGAGGAGGTGCTGAGCCTGGGAGACAACTCCATGGCAAGCTCTGAGACCGAGTCACTCTCCTGCCCTGGCCGAGGTGCCCTGGCAGTCTCCAGAGGCAGGGCAGTCCCCTGGGGGCCAGGGTTTCCCTGGTCTCACTTCCAGCTCCAGGGCCCATGTCCCCTGGTCAAGTGACCTAGGGCAAGTTAGTAGACACTCAGCCTTGATTCCCTAATCTGTAAAATGGGGCTAAAACTGGTTTGAGCCAGCACAGGCAGGCCCCCACCATGCCGGCAGAGTGGTCAGTCGTACCTACGAGCTGTTCTCTCCTGGGGCCAGGTGATGCCTGCACAGTGGGGCACAGTACAGGCCCGAGGGACAGTCTGGGGTGGGGGGCACCCACTTTGGCCTCTTCCCACCCCCAGGTTCTAACAAGGACCCCTCACTCACTGAGCCCCCTCTCCTCTTCCAGTCTCCAGGGCCTCCCCGCACATACCTTCCTCCTCTCCTGCCAACCTGAAAACAGTACCCCTGTGTGCTCTTCCCATCTGCCATGGGCTGTCCTCTCTGCCTGCCGGTGCACCTGCCCTGGAGCCCTGTTCCTCCAGTCTCTGGGTCCTCACCCCCAGCACGTGCAACATGACACCCTCAAAGTCACAGCCCCCCTGCCCCCGCCATCCCACCAGCACCTGCTCCTTGTCCTCCCCTGCCTCACAGGCCCTGTCAAGGGCTGTGTCCCTCCTTCCTTTTACCTCTCCTCCACAGCCCCCTTCAGAGCCCTCAGCCCTTCCCCAGGGCTCCAGCCAAGCCTGTCTCCCTCTCCCGAGGCTC